ATTTCTATTAAAGAACGTGAAGTAACTCGGCATCTTCTGCTTCTTGATATGCTAAGCATGTTTTTCCATATACTGTGCCATGTTTAAAACTTGTTTAGATTTACCAATATAATATATATATATTTGTACTGTGTGGATTTACATCATTCTTGCTAGGGTAGTGTTTACCTGCCAGTATCAAGCGGTGTCTTTAATCCCAGCCAACTCTCTGCCTCATAACTTGAGATTGTTTCACATTTGTCTTGCATGTCTCTTCACAATTTCTATCATGCAACAGTAGGGGCCATTATGATACTGATCCCTCCTCATATGTTTTAGCACCTCTAAACTAACAAAAGAGAAAAAGCCTCAGAAAGCATAACACCATGAAAAAACCAACAACTAGACATTCAAGACTGCATATTTCTTTATTTTGTAATCGCGTTTTTCTAAAACATATTAAAATAGAAAAAAAATGTTCATCTGATCCATTATACAAAGAAAATACCAACATAGTAATAAAGTACTGAAAATATATGAAAGCACCAAAAAAGTAAAATATTTGTATTGGCAAAGACAATTATTTCTTGCAATTCTACAGTAAAGTGCTATTCAATCCAGACAAATTAAGGAATAAGCATCTTAATCGCATGGTTAGTAAGTGTTATCTAAAAGTTACAAATTACTGTGTTACTTTTCTTAACAACATGACAACAATTCATCTTGTTAAAAGCACAGAACCTGAACTGTGTGCACAGGAAAATAATTTAAACAAAAGCTTTACAGTAAACAGTGAAAAACGAGAGTTGCAATTTGTTAAGAGAACAAAATAATGAAGCGACATAAGATTAGTGAAAAAAATAAGAAAACATTGATATGGCAAAATGAGGTACAAATTAAGAAAGGATAGAAGACTGCGTACCACAGTTCTGTATACCTGCCTTTTTCAAAATAGTATTTCAGTAATCATATTGAGCCCTATGTTGCTTTATTAGTTAGTTTACTAACATTTTTTTTTAAAACCATCTCTTCCTATTTCCTAGAAATAATATTACGTCTACAATATATTGAAGAAAGAATGGCAAGAGGACAGAGGTAAGGTATGACCTTTATTTCCTGCAATAATTGCTTCTCATCTATTAAAGCTGACAGACCAAAACTAAACAGCCTTCTATGCAAGCCTATTTGTGGTGAAAATTATTTCTAGTAAGAAAAATATTTTTAAGTTTTACACGTTACCAAGAGTGAAAAATTTATATGTATGAAAGATACCAGTCTCTTTTAAAGTATTTATCATTTTAATATACACATTTACAGCAGTGAGTACAAAGAACTCGTGAGAATGAATTCTCACGAGCTTCATGTACCATTTCTATAATACTTTCAGAGAAATGGCAGATACAACACTTTTACATTCCCTTCAACAACACTAAATCTTACTGACTTGACTGCTTTTTTTGTCCATATATTCATCCATGATTTAAGCATATTGCACACCTCAGGAGTTCTCAGCATTTATTAATTATTAGCCTTTCTATGAGCTATAAATAGATCAGCAGAAGTCAACTGCCAATTTTGTTTGAGTTTAATTAAGAGTTGCTTTCAAAAAATGAAAAACTAAACAATAAAAAGCATTTATAGCAGAAATAGTGTCTCAACACGAATATTTCATTAATATCTTTGGAATCAAAGAAGGGTTGTTTTCCAGGTCAATATGGCTGGGTGCACGGTATTTGGTAGGAAATACAATATTTTTGTATTCAGAAAAAGCACAAAAATAAGGAATACAAACAAATGAATCCTGAATTCTCTACATGATAATTACCAATATTTTTATACGTGGTATGTAGATGTACTTAGGTTATAGGAAAATGCTGCCTGTACTATGTAATTTCTCCAAACAGTAAGCAGACTGCACCTTCTATGACAGCTATTCTGGATGTAACCATGAGTACGAGCAAAAGAAATTAAATAGAGTATTTAAAATATTTGAACAAAGCATAGAAAATACTATGAAGTACTAAATTATACTGCTGTATTTGGTTGTTCCTCCCTCCTCCCAGTTCAGTAGTATTTATTGTTGTACAGTGAAATTAGTTCCCAGCTCTAACACCCTTCTCATGCACCTTACAAAGTGTCAAGTTTCCGTAATTTATTTTGCTGACTGTTCGTTTCTTCTTCTTTCAGCAGCTGGTGTCATCGTTTGGGCTCACCAGTCTCTTTTTGGCAGTTATGGAATCTGAGAGCAGCACCTTTTTCAGTTCAGACCGACCGCGATAGGCAGCGTGTCCAGCGCGAAGCGACGCTTTTTAGCTTCTCTGGGTGTACACCAGGTAGAAGCAGAAGGCAGCAGTAGAAACTGACAGTAATGACAAAACCACTAACAGCTGCTGGAACCACAGGCAGCGATCAATCTGCTCTTGAAGTCTTCTATTAATTTGCAGTAGACGAGTTAGCTGAAAATAAGAACTGCTGCATTAGAATCACAGCAACTGAAAGTACTGGCTAGTTTAAAGCTACTCAATTAGAGTAACTGCAAGCACAGTTATAATATAAATGATTGATCTGAGTGATAAACTTTTCTATCACTACTTCATTCTTCTGTTCCTCTGAAGCAACTTAGATTTCTTATGGATAAGTTATACTGCCTGTAACAAGAACATCTTTATATTAGGAAGAAAAAAGACTGCTAAAAGTCTATTAATAGCTGAGATGCGTAATATACACAAGAGGAATGAGAACACTAATTGCAAGTAGTAATGTTTTATTAAATCACTAACATTCACTAAAATGATTAAATCACTGTAACTGACTTAGTTACCCTGAAGCGACAAATTTTTCAAAGAGGAAAATTTCTAAAGTACCAAGAAGTTTTAATACAAAGAAAAAAAGCTTTCCATTTCTACCATAGTTTATGTTTCTTCATCAATCAGCACAAAGGAGTACCTTATTACCTGTAAATGTAGATCTTCATTGGTTTTTGCAGGAGCATTAAATGCATTTTCTTTTAATGTCAGAGTAGAAGGCTTACTACTTTCTAAAACATGGCACCTGAGCCTGTGAAAGGGAGGGAAAAAAAAAAAGCAGTGTAATCCCAAAATCATAAATGTAATGCATTGTAATAACATTGGAAAATTGATACAGAAAGTAAACTGTCCAACCCATTTAGTATATGCACTTTCTCACCTCTTTTTGGTTGACTAATTTTATAAACGAGTATTACAATGACAGTCTGAAAAACCTTCCTCAGTCTATCAATTATTTTGGCAAAGTTTGGTAAAACAAAGCAAATCAAAACAATCTTAATGCTCAAGTAAAATGTACCTTTATTATTTTAAATTCATAATACAGTATCCTCTGGGGGTTTTAGTCAAATCTTAACTGCCAAAAAAAAATAACTGAACAGTAAACAAAAGCTGAAGATTTCTGTCCATTTTAAACCTTGCCCATGGTGTTTTCCATTCACTTAATTTCTTCTATGGTTGAGTAAGCAGGAGTAGTATTTCAAGCCATAATTGCAGGTCTTAGAAAGCAAAATAATTTTTAAAATACAGCATAAGTACTCTGATAACACAGAAGTGCGGGAATAGTGTGGCAATTAATTTACCTACTGAACAAATTGTCAAATGCTGTAGCAGTTATGTATTTTAATGAAATTTGTAATGAAAAGCAGAAAAAAAGACAAATGTGTGTAACAAAACCCAAGTAGATTCCTCAGAGAAAGCACTTGCATATATAATCTGAGGGAGACAGCAATGATATTCTCCACTACTTTTAATTTAGGTTAAAAAAATAAAATACAGATCAGTTCTGTATTTATCAGTAATGTATGTACATGACATACTTCATGATGTACATGACTACAAACATTAAGCATGTTTGAGAAACCTAATTTTCTCAAGCATTTATTTAGATGGTCTTTAAAACATGTATTATTTCAGGTGAAAAATCTAACATGATCAAATATTTTTCCCTAAAATCTCTCCCTATCATTTCAGGGTTCTTCCTCAGAAAACAAAAAGAAAGACAACAAAGTGAAGAAAAAAAAACAAGAACAAAAATAAACAAACAAACAAAATCTCCCCAAACAACCAACATTTATTGAAAGAAGCTTAAGGCAACTCACATTTTATAAACCAGAATGAGCAAAGGTATGTCAGCCCCTCCAGACATGGCAATTATTTCTATAAGTACACAAAGAAACTATAACTTGCTTCCACATTTTTATGTACATTTTTTCCCTCTCCTTAAGAACTTTGGAAGAATAAGATTAAAAAAAAAGAAAAGAGAGAGAGGCCCAGAACAGTCTAAAGTTGAATGTGGTAAAAATCCCTTTTTAAAGCTAGAATAGCTAGCATAGCCTACTGATATAATGACTCTAAGAACTATGGATGAAGAAGAATTACAATAAACTGAGATGAGCAGTGATGAATTATAATGAACTAAGAGGAGCTAATTTTACAATAGAGCATATTCTCTGCATATGAGAAAAGCAACAACCGTGTTTAAAAGTGTGTATGGATCCTTGAGATAGTTTGCGAACTGCAAATAAGGAAAACACACATATTAACACGACAGGCTTCTCAGATCTTCTACAAAATTATGATTCTCCCTCAGAAAAAGTTTTTAATATCAGCAGGCTGCCATTTGGCATTTGCTCTTTTCTTGTTTGTTTATTTTTAGAAAACTCAAGGGGCACATTCTTAGTCAAAAAAAAAATCTACTATCGATCTGTATTGTCACATCCATTCCATTTCTTCCATTTAGCTCTTGAACAACACAAGTAAACAACCATAAAAAGACAATGCGGAATGTAGGCAGAATATCATCACATTTCCTGCATTGAAAAGAATCCCTGTAATCAGTTAAAACACAGAAGAGGCAGCAGTGAAAGACCTCAGGTACTAAGAGTACAATACGTTTTGGAAAATCTTGTGCTGCTTTTGATATGTAGGTACCATAATTCACATTACACAAGATGACAGCCTGGCAACGATCACCATCTGCTTACCTATGTTCCATCACTTTGGTCCTAGGGACCTCCTTCCAAAACTGCGTCAGCTCTGGTGCACCTGCTCCAGAACCCTGGTCCATTTCTGCTGCCATTATGAGGAAACGATCCTGCAGGGAAGCTGCAAAACCTGCCCTCAAAAGGCAGGCGGCAGGGGGAAGAAACAGGGTCTTTGGATAATCAGTGTTACAGGGCATACAGAGGCATTTCTGAACTTCAGGGCTCTAAAATAGGAGCTTTAGTACAGGACATCAGATACAGACTATAAGAAACAGCATTCATTCCATTACTCTCAACAGTTTTCATTACAATTTGCTCTACACTATTTCTTTTAACAGAACTGGCTTCAACTGAATGATTTAAGGAGAACCCAGAATTTTATAAAAAATGCCTTTTTCCAACAGACTTTCCTGCCCATAAACTACTTCAGAAGCCTGCTTTACTATAGATAAACTACTACTGTAACACAGCACAAGAAAGATCGGTGTCCCCATCACTTGTTTTAGACAAGAAGTGGAATGGACTCCAGACCACACAGGCTCGTGCCTAAGTGGAACAGTAAATCAATACGGGCAGTGACTTAATCAGCCAGGAAAGTGGCACCAAACAGAACATCAACTGCTAAGTCCTTCTTGTCTCTCCTTTGGAGAGGTACCAGTCTGCCTGTGTCAACTCTATAGAACTTGCTGCTCTTCTTTTGTATATGGCTAATGCTGAGAGATTCAAAAATGGTTTGAAAAAGAACTGGCTTTAAAAAGACAATTCAGTTCCTTAGGAAAAAAAAGATAGAAATTATTTATACCACATTAATTTTTCTTACTATGTATAGTAACAATATAATATCAACTTCACTAAAACCAAACCAGTTCACATCAATGGCGCATATATAATAAAGGAAATTGTGTACACTTTAAAGTGTGGCAGGCCATTGGAGTCCAAGATCTTGTCAAGCTTGACAAGAGATGTGTACCACATACAAGACCTCATAAAACACTGCTCCAGAATAGACCATCAACTTAAGATCCAGGAGACACATCCAAAACAAAATGGTCCTGAAACAAATTTCTAGAAGACCAACGTAGGTCTGTTCAAAGTCGGAGGTGAGAAATTCAACCGGAAATTACATCAACTTTGACAAGTGAAGGCAGTGTGAATTACAACTCCACAGAAACACAGTTGAGACACAGTCTCTTACCAATGAGAATACTCTCATATATTCACAACACCCTTCTGACAACAGTCAAGATGACATGGGTGTCAGATACCTTATTACCTAACAAAAACATAAAAAAGATAATACCTAAAAGAGTAAGACTCTTCACTGGTTCAAAACTGGTTCGACCTTCTTAAAAAAAAAAAAAAAAAAAAATATTGAAAATTTTTACTTACCACCATGAAGAGATACTATTATGTCTAATGATGCCCCAGGTTCACAGCTGCTGTTACTGGGTTTAACTCTGTATTTTTCAGGAGCAGTAGTTCTCACCTATAAACAAAATACATCAACAAAGCACTTAAGTAATACACACACAAACTGTGATCATTTCATAGCCTCCCTTTTTTGGTAACAGTTAAAAAGAAAACAAATATTTAGGAAAGTTCAGAACCTTAACTAAATATTGTTTAAGGCACAGTGATAACCTACAGTCTTAAAAACACTTTATTTTGTAAAAAGGCACTATCATTTCTGTCCTCTGTCAAGCATTTTCATCCTTTCTTTTCTGCCATATGCTATTTTCTCTTTTTTATATAAAAGCAAAGCCAACAATATCAAATAGAGTATCTGTCAAAATTATTGATTGAAAATTACACAAATGTAAGTTATTTATTCCTACAGAGAACACAAAAAAGATTAAAAAAATCAAGCTTAATTCAATTCAGTATTTTTGAAACAAAAATACAGCATTCACTCATTTGGGAGTGACATTTGCATCACTACAGAAGATTATTAATTTGTTCATAGGATTTATAAAGGAAAACAAATACTCTTAAAGAGCAATGCTTCCTTTTTATGGAAGAGTTAGATTATTCTGAAAGAATTAACCACTTCTGCAGATTTTGCAGGTTTATTCCAGTCAGTGCTCAAAAGGATTTGTATTATTGATTACTCCCTTTACGATGGTACACGAAATGCACAAAGATTTCTTTATCTGTTTCAAACATTGTGCTATAACCAAAGAAAAAGAAGTGAAACCTAAAATAAAAAAGGTTTAATAGTATTTCTTCCGCCTTCCCCAAAAACATACATGAAAAAGCCACATATTTTAGAAAGTAACCCAGTGAACACACAAAATGTTTACCTTGAAAGCCACTATGTTTTTAGTAACGTTTGTCAGTACTATCAAACATTTTCTCTCTCCAGTTTCTTTGGATCCAAAATACAGCTCTTCAGCTGGGCTAACAAAAATTTAAAAAGAAGATCTTTACAACACAGAATAAACTTTAAACTCAGCAACTACAGTCAGATTTTTATTAAAACACAGCCGAAAAAAAAATCTGAAATTTTGAAGTGAGGGTTGGGTATGACTCATGTGCACAAGTGAACTTTGCTGCATCAGCAGAATAGGCTACTGCTATTTACTTCTTATATCAAGAAGAGAGAGCAACCACCGGCCACAGCAGGAAGAGCTGACAGCTTTAGATAGCTGCTCTTCAGCCACCGCATTTAAAAAACAAAATTAATTAACACTCTAATATGATAGACTTTACACTGTCACAGCGAAGAAGCAATTTCTATCTCATTTAACTGTTCCTGTAGTGGGTACAGTGTTTACATAAGAGGAACAGGCAGATATTTGAGAGTAGTAATCACTTCAGCTCCTATAGCTAGACACACCTGAATATATGTTGTCTGACTTCATATATTCTGGAGACACATGCAGAATTTCCCCCCCCCCAAAAAAATTAAAGTTTTGTCTTTTCTGTAAAGTTCTTGTGCAACTTAAAAACCCATGGGTAAAATCTTTTAAAATATCACAATAGCACAACTCATCTTGGAATAAGCATTCAAATGAAAACTACTGTGCTGAGAAGCAGGGCATGCTCACATCCCACCAGCTGAGAGAAAACGCAAGTAACAGGGAAAGAACTATTTTCTTTTAGTAAGTCTTGTTAAGGGTACATAAAAAACTGCCTTATTCTCTGACAGAAAGCCTTTTCCAAAAAATGAGCATAGGCTTAGTTGTATTGTGTGTTTTTTTTTTCTCCCCAATTTTATAATGTGAATTTTACATTATTTTGGCATTTTCTCCCTCAAAGGAATTCCTTTCACAGATAGGAATACGAATCCTTTCTTCTTCTAACTCATTTAAGCAAAATAGGATACTAGCAGAGAAAAAAAAAGGGAGGGCTTTAGGGCAAGTCTAAGAGTAACTGTATATTATAATGCACTAAGTTCACTTTTTTTTTTTTTTTTTTTAAGAGGCTGGAATACCTGTGCTAAGACAGGCAGGCAGTACCAAACTGATAGGTTTAAACAAAATTAGTTGGCTTACTGTATTCTCTTGTCTCAAATTATTTTTCCCCTGGTTCCCAAACTCAATCTCAGTAAGGGACAATTTTTTAAAACAGAAAGGACTGCAACTGTTAGGTACTTCAGATACCAATAACACACCACTGCAATGTAAATGCAGTACATAAATTGGGAAAAAAAACCCCACAAACGACACTAGATGGTATTAAAAATAGTATTCAAATTGAACAAAAATAAGAGGTTCTAGGAAAGGGATGTTGTGGCAGAGCTGGTAGAGCCTGATATTGCTCGCTATACTCCCAACTGTGGCAAAAGATAGGTTTTTTTTTAAAAAAAAAAAAAAAGAAAGAAAAAAAGGCTTAAGGGCCAGCTTTGTAGGTATGTTGTCCATCAAGTCAAACAGTATCACTGTATAATGCATATATATATATGTTTTAAAGTAACTCAGCCGCATAGCGTAATGCATATGCATACCTATGTTTTACTTTAAAGAAACACACAAGATTTTACAGTCTAACAGAAACCCTGTTTTCCTTATATTTGAGGCACAGAGGAGTAAGCATTTCAGCCTGTATACGTGAGCTAGTTTTCTGCCAAACAGTGCGAACGAACAGCCACAACTCCCCACTCTCTCACCAAATTTATTCATTTATTAATGGGGAGGGCCAACACTTCCAGGTAGGCATGGAAAACGCAGTAGCGTTAGACGAGGACGAGACAGGCCACGTGGGAATGGCCCTAGATGTGAGGAACGAGGAGGGCAACGCTGGGAGCGCTCTGCTCGCCGGGCGGCTGTGGCCACGCGCCAGGGCCAAGGGCAGCGAGTGACATGGGGCAGGGGGGCAGCGACAGGCGCAGGCCTCAGCCGAGCGGGCACGGACACGGTGCTGCTACGCGGGGCGCGGGGGCTGCGGCTGGAGCGGGGCTGGGGACCTGGCTGTAAGCTGCCGCCGAAGTCAAGGCTTAAGGGGACCCCGCGAAATCAAAACTAATTCTCACTCCTACCCCTTCAGAGTATTTTACAAAGAACCACCATGGGCACCACAATTCCTCACGAGTTTCGGCACGAAATGAAGAGCACGGACAAGGGAGACGCCAGGATTTTATTTTTCATGATGGCAAAACTGCAGTATCAGCACCTCTACACTTGACTAAATTTATTGTCCCTGATAGACTAAATTTATTCTCCCTTATAATTTACATAAACTCCAACACTTCTGTGCCAGTTCTAGAGCTTAAAAGATTAAGAAAAAAAGTACCTTTTAATATGTGCTTTTAAAGACATCAGTGCAAGGAAATAGCTTCTTTGGGGGAGAAAAAAAAAGGAAAATATCCTATATCTGACTTATTTCTTCAAAAAAAATCTAAATAGACGCCCATGGATTTAGAAATTCTTTTAGAAATCAAATTTTCAATCCCTTCCTTTGTCCCGTCATACAGGAAATCAGAACTATACGGAAGAGGGTTTGGCACACAAAGGACAAGAAAGCTGATTTTCATTTCAGAACCAGAAACATTTCAACAGAACTGTTTTAAATGCTAATGCACATGTCATTATTCAAATTCATTCCAAATCCAATTCAGTCAGCACTTATGAAGTTAGCTCACATAAGAAGAAATCATCTATAAATTGGGCATTTTCTTCAGGAATCTAAGTGCAAACTGGAAATAAAAATAAAAGTCATCTTCTAAACAAGCATCTTAACACAAAAAGGCAGTGGAAAGGAAAACATCCTGGCTGATTTGTTTTATTTCAAAACTCCTGAGGCAAAGCAGATTAACAGCAAACCCTGTGACTCTTCAGTGGCGAAACCTTCTGAGCAGAGCAACCACTTACACGCGCAGCGCTTCCCACAATGGGAGAATCGCACCCTTTAAAACTGGCTTGGATGATGGGGCAAATGACTCGCACAGACATTTAAGCCATTTTAACTTAAAAACAATTCAAAGAAAGTTTATCAGAGAGTTGTCTTAGTAAACAGATTGTTTTAAAATTTTGTTGTCTTAAGAAGCCAAAGTTAAACCACTAAGTATTCTTATTACTGATATAATAATGGTTTAACAAAAATAAAATGCTTTTCCCAGTATAAATGGAATATACACCTAGGAACTAGCATAAGGCATGCCAACAGTTATGTCAAAAAAAAAATCATTAGAAGCAACACACTCAAATTCATAAAATTGTTTATGGGGTTGGGGGAGGTTCATTCATTCTTAAAATGAATACATTTAATTAATTGATGTTTATAAATATAGTTTGCTTTCTCTAAACCCTGAAAAAAAATAGCCTCTCAAAAACTGTAACTAGTTTCATAAGCAAGTGTCCCAAGCTCATTGTGGGGAAAAAAAAATAAAAAAGAAAATTATTATTACCTGATATGCAATAAAGGTCCTTTAAAAGTGGTTAGTGCTTTCTTTGCATTTTTTGGTTTGAAATCTGTTTTGTCAGTTTGTTCCTCTGATTTGTGAATTTGTTCTATAGAATTCATCTGAGTGAAAATGACAGTTATAAAGATTAAGCAGAAATCCGGGTCACACATGCTAAAGTCATGCAGGTATTTCATCACCAAACATGAGGCAGCTCATTTCAACATTATATATATTAAGTTTCCAGCTTAATATGTATTTGCTGAAGCTGCTGGAAGTCAACTGCATAAAACGTTTTTGAATTAAAAGTTACATTATACATTATGCATGCATAAAACACAACTTTTCTTCTTTTTGCAAGTATTTTCTTGTTGCCCAATATGGTTACTTAAAAGCACCAAGCCCATAGGTTATGCTACTTCAAATTTTCAATTTACAAGGCACCAATGTTACTTTACTTATTCTTCCACTGCAGACCAGAATCAAAACAGACACCCCAATAACAATCATTACAATACTGATCAGAAAACACAACAATTCTGCACCTCATTGTATTTCAGAGTTGTTAAATATATCTTCTTTGCTTTTTAGATTGAACTCTAAGATATTGAAGAAAAAAAAAGAAAAAGAAATGCTGATTGCATCGGTACATCCAAAACTGCAGATATGTTAGGGTCTGAGACTTTCTTCCTCTACTAGATTAAGAAAACATATATGTCAACAAGCCTGAAAATCCACCATATAATTCCAGAATTCTCTGATTTTTAACAAAATGAAAGAAAACGGGGAGGAAAAAAAATAAAGAATGAAAAATCAATGGCATGACAGCTCATCAGGATCAGATTACTAGATAGCTTACTTAGTCTTATTTTTATTCCAGTTAAAATACAGGCAGAAGGTCTGAAGAGAATTCAGTTTATTTAAATTTGGAGTAAGGGAATGACAGAAACTTAAAATTTTGCAGAGGAAAGACCTTGTAAACACAAACAAATCAGACACACAACAATTTAATATCATTATTTCAAATAATTATATTGAATGTTTAGGGTAACCAGTAATGTGTTTGGCTTTATTTGCATGATTCTGATCAAATTTACCATCAGGGAAAATACTACTATAGTATAAATTAAAGATGGAATTTCTCCAGATAAATGCAAGTTTCTGCACGACAGGCATTACAGTCAAGTATATAGGCATTTCCATGGGATGAGAGGAGGCATACATAGATAAAACAGATCAAGCAAATTTTCATCCACAAACCCAAAGTTAAAGAATGCCAGTGTAACAAGTAACAATGAAGGCAATGAAATCTCACAAATCACTTGAAATCTCTTACTTTGGAACTTGGTCTATTCTATTATTTAACAGAGCCAAGTACAAAATAATTAATTTAGAAATAATAAATGCCAACTATTTCAAAAGAATGAGAGACTGTTTCCTGGAAAACAGACTTTGAAAAACGACATAACATTAACGTGGCAAACAACGGTATGCCTGCTGTGGAAAAAAAGGGCAAATATTAATCTTGAATATGTGAACAGAAAACTAATGACCGGAGAGTAGAACAATAAACTATTTCATATAGAAATTGTATCAACAATGAGATATGGTCCAAAATTTTACAGATACCTTTAAGATGTAACAAGCCTTAACATTACTTCATATATGACAAGTTTAAAAAAGGTCAATCTGCCTAGTGGCAGATTGCCTAGGAATAAAAAGACTGATTAGCAGCTTGATTATGCTGTATTGCAGAGAAGATACCATAAACTAAACCATTATTTCTAACACTTAGAAGAATAGGAAAAAGATGATCCTAACTAGAAAACCAAAGTAAACCAAACAAATCAGAAAAAAACACCACCACACAAAAGCACAACTACCATTAAAGTGCTAAACATTGTTAAATGAGGATCATCCACATTGAGAATAAATAATGATTTTTATGTGTTGAGATTTTATCAGAGATTTTATTCTCTTTAATTTTAAGAAATTAAAATCTGCTGAAGCATAAACAGACAATTTAATATTTTCTTGTGCACATACTGATTTCAACAGAAAACTATAAATTGCATAGATATGTCTAGAAGACTAGACATTTTAATGCTTACTTCTCAAGATATTCCAAGATAAAAATGGACTAATTAGAAAAAATAATCTTGAGAAATGAAATTAAGGCACAGTTTTTTAAAATTTTACTGTACAATCTATTAAATTCCAGAGAGATACTAAATATTAAGAATATATTTTATGCACTCAGAAGCATGGAAATGTTTTTAATAGTAAAATCTGTTCGAAAAGGGAAAGCCTAAAATTATAAACATAATTTTCAGTTTTACTAAGTATTTATTTCAAAATGAAAGAAACAAAACCAAAATACAAAGTAAAGGCTGACAAGAAACAAGAGTAGCATGCTTCCTGTCCCACTTGATAGGCAAGTAGTTTTGCCTCAAGCTTAACAGTTAGATACCTTTTTCGGATTAAGGTTTTGTTCTTCATTGGGATCCCCAGCCTCCTTGGTGTCTGCATCTATCTCTTCCTTACTTTCATGCTCATCTTCACTAGTAATAGGCCCATTTTCACATAAAGGAGTTTGAAAATCATCATCAACCAATGGAGGATAACTATACTTGAAAGAATCCTAAAACATAAGGAAATTTTAAGAATTTATTTTGGAGGATCAAGTGCCTTCTGTGGTATATCATCAAATTAGTATTCAGTTTTACATAATTATACATTTAATGTGTACATTTTAAAATGCACCCAAGTACAAAACATTAATATTACCAATAGTTTAGATTACACCACCACTAATAGACAAATAAAGGCAGTCACCTAATAAAACCACTGCATTATAACTGCTGCCATTACTTATAGATTCACAGCTGAACTGTAAAATAGGTTTGCCAGAAATCAGCATTCACAGCCTTAGCTTTATAGTTTTGCTACCATTTTATGTTTTAATCAAAATTCCTAAAACCAACAGATGTTTCTAAAGAATGTTCTAAAAGACTAAAGACTTTCAACTGTATCACACACAGTTTGACATGGAAAAATTCTAAAATAGATTTTTTAAATTACAAAATCTGTATCTATTTACCATTCTTCTTGGATATCTAGGTTCCACAACACTTTCTTTCTACTTCCCTATAGTAACTAGCTAAACGATCTGTCCCACTAGTTGTTTACATCTGGCTTAACCTGGCTTTTCCATGGTGGAGCCTAACAAGAGGCACAGAAGAAACAGAGGAGGAGAATCTAACTACAATGTGGAGTACAATCTAAGGACAGGTGTGCTTTGCTCTTCACCTGTGCCATGCTAGTAGTAATTTTGATGATTCTTTCCCAAATGGGGAAAAACAAACGCAGAAATAAAGGAATTAGGAGGAGATTTAAAAAAAATGTTTGGCTCTTCACCTGTGCCATGCTAGTAGTAAATTTGATGATTCTTTCCTAAATGGGGAAAAACAACCACAGAAATAAGGTATTAGGAGGAGATTTTAAAAAATGTTTGAGTGGAGTGGAAAGAATGAGGATTTATATAACAAAGTGCAACCTCAAAAAGCCAGCTTTCACAACAAAATGGGTATTTGCTTTCTCTTGTTCAGAGACTCCAATTGTCTCAACAAGGCCCAAGGTTAACTGCACCGTGAAAAGCTGCATCCCAAGAAAAGGATAGTAAACTTACTTTCTTCTGGCCACCGAAGCATCAATATTTAGTAAAAATATATCTGGTAGTTCAAAATATTAGGCTTCTAATTTGCAGCAATAGAGGGTTTTTTTCTGAAATTGTTGATATACTTAATTTTTGTCAAGTAAATGCACTCATATTTTACTAATTTCTTTCTGTCACAGCAGCTTATCACAAGTTTGGATTAAATGCTTCATGATCTGGAATTCAAAGATGGGAAACATGAAGATAACTTTATCAGGTATCGTTAAATGGCCACGAGACCTTCCAAAACCAAGGCAGGATTAAGCATAACTTAAAGACTATGTGCTCAACCGTTTGCTTCATGAAGACAGTAAGCAGAGCCACATGATGATTCCTTCTTCGAAGGGGAACTTTAGCTGTCAGGTAAGACTAAAAGCAGACAGGAGATATTTGACTTGAGGATTGCAGAAAGGAACTTCCCTCTCTATTGGAAGAGCAACAACAAGAAAACACCTTGGTGTGGGAGCTGGGTGCAGAAACATTACTAAATTCCATCCCAGTCCTTACTGGAGCCACCCAGGGTACAATCAGCCATTCCCTCCATGGCCAGTCCTGAGAAGTCAGATATTTCAGTTTTCTGTAATGAGTTCTTTTACAATAGCATGGAACTAGGATAGCAATTTTCTAGCAAGGAAGATGCTATCAATTTTTCGTATGGTTTCTTGCCATAGTGTCATAAAAGCTGCTTTTTTAACGGGTGCTGCTTTCAGTCAAATAAAAAATTGGGCAACTTAATGTCTTTTTTTATATTCCCAAAGTAACACTGTTTCATATACTCTAGCTACTAAAACTCTACCTTGACTTTATAGTCAAAGGAACAAGCTTCTACTCGGGCTGAAGCAATCTTTCTTTTCTCCACACTGTTAATGCTGCAAATACAACAAACACTTAGTGGTAAAAAAGAATGGTTAACAACAACTTTTACGGTGGAATTATACCGCTGCTGTATCGCTGCTGTATCCTGTCTGCATATATTTTAAAGGAGATTTTTTTTTCCTCCAAATTCTATGCAAACTAAGATTTACTAGTTTTGCAAAACGAAAAACAAGCCCACAGAATCTGTTGTGTAAGATACTTGAGCTATTATTAAATTTAAAGTAGACAGGATTTACCTTCTAGCAAACTGATACTGGATCACAGTATCAGAGTTTTGTAGCCTTAATGCGCTCTTAAAAAAAAAAAAACAAAAATCCCCACACTCCCATAGCTACCCCATACTCCCATAGCTATACTTTATAAATGTAGCCCAAGGGATAATAAAGGAAAGAAAATAAAAATATAACAGTCTTTACTGAATTGTGGCTTTGGAGCTGGATGAGAAATTTCAGAGGGCCCTGGAACCTGTTCCCTGTTTGCAGTGTCAAACCAATACATAGCCTCTCTAATTCACCACGTGAGTGGAAGGAAGATACTTCAGCTAGAAATTGTGCGTGTGTGTGTGTTTGTGAGTGCGTGCACTTCTTTGGTACATAAGACTGTCAGATAACAAACTCTCATCCAGTCAATTCATTTTATATTAACATGATTTACATTTAGAATTTTGGCCTAACAAAATATTTCAAGAAATTACACACCCACGAAATGCCAAATCTCAGCTTCATGTACATAGTTTAAATAAGCATGTCTCAAGCCATTACAAAAGTACCTCGAAGTGTTAACGTACTTACAGTTCCACCCATGTGAGGCGGCAAATACTCTCCACTGATGTAGTCCTGAACTTCATTCTTGTTTGTGAACTTTAACATGCTTATTGCATCTGGGCCAAGCCAACCCTTTACAATTTTAAAGGCAGCTTGAAAAAAGAA